TAGACTCATGGGTTCATAGAGTCATGGACTCATAAACTCATGGGTTCATAGAGTCATGGACTCGTAGACTCATGGGTTCATAGAGTCATGGACTCATAAACTCATGGGTTCATTGAGTCATGGACTCGTAGACTCGTGGGTTCATAGAGCCATGGACTCGTAGACTCGTGGGTTCATAGAGCCATGGACTCGTAGACTCATGGGTTCATAGCCTCATCAGGGACCCATAAAGACCATTTGGTCCACCTCCCTTTCAATAAACAGGGACACCTACAGCTCCATCAGGTGCTCAGAGCCCCATCCAGCCAGACCTTGGTTGTCTCCAACAGTGGGTCGTCCACCACCTCTCTGGGCATCCCGTGCCAGTGCTTCACTACCTTTATTGTAAAAACTTCCACTTCCCATCCGATCTCAACCTCCCCCGTTCCAGTTTGGAACCATTTCCCCTTGCAGACCCTGCTGAAGTGTCCGTCCCTTTCCTTAAGCTGCCTTACATCTTGAGTTCACATCTCCTTATTTTATATTTTATTTGTTTTCTCTGTGAAGTAGAGTCAAGACTCCAGTTAGCTTGGAATTAAAATGCCCTTATTAAGCTTTAAATAGAGTGCCTACCAACAGCATTACACCAGCGCTAATGACACGCAGGCTCCCAGCAAATTTAATTACACTGTTAATTCAGAAGTAATTAATTAATTAGGTTGTTAATTTGGAAGTAACCGGAGCAACAGCTGCCCAGAGAGGCTGTGGATGCCCCGTCCATCCCTGGAGGTGTTGGAGGCCAGGTTGGATGGGGCCCTGGGCAGCCTGGGCTGCTGTGAAATGTGGAGGTTGGTGGCCCTGCATTGGTGGGGGCTGGAGATCCATCATCCTTGAGGTCCCTTCCAACCCAACCATTCTGTGATTCCATGACTATTCCTTGCCCCAATAAAACGTGGAGTAATTAGAAACTAGAGTTCCCAGTTCCATACCAAGCAGTTACAAGACTGAATCCCAACTGTATTTCAACACCATCGCTGCCCACTGCTGCTTTCAGTAGAAGCTGCTTCCTACATTCTTCTGAGGATGCCCATTTCTAAGGAAGATTTCCATTCCTTCTGTGCCCTTCATAGAATCACAGAAGTGCCCAGGTTGGAAAAGAC